ATGGCATAATGTTGATCGTTTGGTATAAAACGGTATAAAATAGAATATAGCAAGGTTGGAATCATATATATTTCAACCTTGAGGTGGTTTGTCTTTCAAAAGAATGTTTAGAAAGACAATTTGTTTAAGAAAATATAAGGTTAAAAGAATAATCAATAGGATGTCTACTTAAGGAACATCATAAATTAAATTAAATATACATGTGACACGCCTAACTATTTTAAAAATTAACAACTTAAATTTAGAGAAAACGACATAAAAGGGTAATATAGTTTTTATTATGTACATGTTAAGTCTTTATCATTTTTTTATATATATATAAAATAAGTCGTTGAACTTATTGTTTTTGTACACATTTAATATTTAAAACTGACCACTCCATGATAAGTTCTCAGTTGGTCCTAAACTTCTTTTTTTTTTTTTTGCAAAATAAGTCTTTTTTGTTTTTGTACACATATAGCCTTACCAAACACAACACATACTGGTATTTTTTTTAGTTCCACTTAACTATTATTTTGACTATTTAATTGCTTTTTTTTTCGAATCATAAAAGATTTGCTTTGTAACTCTCGCCGTACTCGATTCTCCGGTAGTTGTCGCCGCCGATGACATCTCCAACTAAGAGTATTTTGGAATTAACAAACTTCTTCATGATCATGGTGTCCTTATCATCAATGTGGTTCATCAGAATGAGGTGATCTATATGAAACTGGTTGAAGAACTTAAGATTAGAGTTGCAGCAAGGCAACGACGCAGACCCATACCCCCCAGCATTCTACGGGAATGGAATATTGAAGATGAACAATGACCATCAATCTTCCAAAAAGAATGGATTATTCCAGCAGAATAAAATAAAATACAATGAAAAAAATATATGTAATTGTATATTCTGGTAGAATGATTTATATATTGTATTTATTTGTTATTAATAAGTGTACATTCTCATAGAATAGTATATAAATTTTTTTCTTTTCTAAGAATGTAATGAAATTTTTTTAAACTTTTATCCAAAATTTTGTTATTTTTCAAGAAGTTCATTAAATCAAAATATATATTATGTCAGAATGTATATATTCTTGTATGGTTCAATCATAGTTGTTATTTTTCAATATATTGATAAACATATTCCGTCGGAATTTCCAAATTAGGAGAATAATCATCCATACAATCAGATTTTTAAAATTAATAGAATCTATTTTCCCTTAAAATATGCAATTTTCCTTAAAATATGCAAATTTCCTTTATAAAATTTATATTAATTGACTAAAATACCTTTCTAGTTAAATTAGATGATATTTTTCAATTATATTTAATTAAATAATATGTAATAATCACTTTCTTAAAATAAATAAAATTGATTGATCCACATTTATGCATACAATAACACAATAATTACTTTGAATAGAATAACCTAGGCCTATATATATATATATATATATATATATATATATATATATATATATATATATATATATATATATAATATATATATATATATATCTATATATATATATATATATATATAGCATATGAGATAATCTCAAAGATCATTATATAGATGGATTAAATCACGCATAAGATGCAATAAAAAGCAAGCATAACGAGCATGTGCCATTGTCTTTTATCTTAAAAGCAAGGCAAACATGATAGCGTGATGTATTTCCTTTCCCAAAGACAATACACAGAGAAAATAAACTACCATAATATGTAGGTCTAAATGATAATTTAGCTCTAAAAACAACCATGACACTATTGTTGATGTTACTCGTTAGGGTTAGGTTAATATCCATTAGGATTTAAGTTAGGCCAAAAGCTTATTTTGTATTTTATTTATACGAGGTTAAATCTTTATTATGATGAAGCAATATAAAAGCATTCTATAATATAACATGGTATCAGAATCGTTGTCTCGCACTCCATTGGCTCAACATATATCAGTTTATCGGTTTATCCTCATTGAGCCTCCGACTTTAAGGAGGCGTGTTAGTGATGTGATACAATCCAATAAATGTTTATATGTGTTGGAGTAGGAATGAGCATACGACCTGTTAGACCGCATCGAATCTGAAAAAGAAAAACCGATATCGGACCCGAACCGAACCGGATATTCATATTAGTGGGCCGGTTTTCGGGTTTTGTTTTTCCCACTAATCAGGTTTCGGGTTTTGACCAGACCGTACCCGGAATACGGGATTTAACCCGGACTGGAACGGAAAACATTTTCACCTTAAGTTTTTTTTATAAATATCACCAACAAATATTTATTACTAATTTAATCATATATTTATGACGTTTCCAAATATAAATAAATGAATTTTAAGGATCTAAGTCACTGTTGTTATCGTCCTCTAATGATTATAAAAACCAAATAAAAATGTTGTTATCGTCCTCTAATGATTATAAAAACCAAATAAGAATTTTTCAGGTGAATATGAACTAAGTGACTCCAGGGCATGAGGCAAAGCCTCATGTTTGCAGCGGGGGATTAGTCGGTGCGCGAAAGCTGGCCCGGAAACCCTCGTTAGGGAAGTTCCCTTTCCAATATATATATATATATATATATATATATATATATCTATATATATATATATATATATATATATATATATATATATATATATATATATATATATATATATATATAAAAGTAATTGATTATAATAATACTTTATTTTTTTTCACCAAAATATATTGTATTTGTTTTGAAGAACACAACATAAAATTTATTACATTTATTTTATTTCATTACGATACATTGAGTAACATATAATTTTACGAGATATCTATTTACAAAAAAAATCAGATTGATATAATGCAAACAATCTGATTTTATGAATTTTTTTAATAGAATTGTGCAAACAGCAAAGATACGAAATTACGAATGACGGATGTTACGTAGTAAGATTATAATTTGAAATAATATACTCGAGACCAGAGAGTAACATGACAAACAATATTCGAAACCGTAAACAACAAATATGCGAAACCCATAACCGAAACCGTAAACAACGCTGCCAAACTCTAATTCGGTCCAAAACCTGAAAACCAGTTTAGTACCCGGAACTAGATCGGACCGAACCTAGACCCGATACACCCAAAAATGGTCCAGTTTTCGGGTAAGGTAATTCACGATTTTTGGTCTTCGTTTTCGGTCTTCGGGTCGGTCCGGTTCGGGTTTGACCCGTTGCTCATCCTTATGTTGGAGAGATGATCTTGGGATCCACATTTTGTCACATGGTATCAGAGCTCTAGATTAAAACTCTACTGACGACCACAACCCGCAGCCGCTGCCTTCCACGTCCCGACTTCTAATAATCGTCAGATTTGCCCTCATTATGCTCAATATTTTTCTCTTTCTTAACGTTAATTTGGTTGACATATGGAAGTAAATGAAAATACTTAAGTGGTGTTTCTTTTTAACTTAATGAGCTTAATATGGACAACACTTTAATATGTTGGGATATATATAAGCGCTTCTTTTTTACTTTATTGATAAATAATCTTAGCTCAAAAAGAAGAGAGGGGAGGGTTTACAAACACCTTTTGACAAGCCTTTGCTATGAGTAGACTTCAAATATGCATTTTTCCACAATTGCCCTCGTCTTCAATATCAAATCACGTTCGAGTAAATCGGATTTCAATCTCCTAATGATATCCCGATTATATCTCTAACTTTCATTCCTCTTCTTCCTCCCCAAAATCAAGATTCCATCATTATATATTTCAAGCTGGTCTACATTTGCATCATGACAAATACAATCAATATCATCTTCTGCGGTTTTTTCTTGTATCTCCAAAAATTGGCAATTTCGCTTTCTTCCTCTTGTCAATGAAGTTTTAATTTGATTTTTTTTTTCAATCGACGTAAATAACTTTATGTGTATGATATGCTATTGATTAGAATCATAAAACTCAAAAGAATATGATTACCAATGAATTAAAAAAAAATGTATACTATAATAAACAAAATTTGACTACCTTTTGGCCCGTCCTACAATTTCTTTTGTGACTCCGGTATCCTTTCACCACTTTAGATCCTCATGAATTCAAAGAAAGTATTATGGACATGTGTGGTGGCGGATGAGTATTCTTTTGATCTTATGTTTTGAACTGCATATTGTCCATACCGGTAAAAAACAAAGTGTGTTGTTATATTTTGTTATTTTCCTTAATGGTATATTATATAAAAAATATTATATTAATTTTATGCAAAGTGTTAAAAAACTTGTAGGTAGTTTTTTTTATAATTATTTTGATATAATATAAATAATGTAACACAATTATTCATTCACACCGGTTTATATGATAGATTGTGGTTAGACATTGTTTTAGAGTATGAACCAAGATAGTCTAGCTCATACGAAAACCAATCGCACCAAACACCATAACCAACATGTTCCGTCACATCATAGCATCTCTCCAAGACCCATCACATAAACTTTTCTCATGCTGACCAAATCAATAACTAATATATTATTTTAAAAACAGGTTTATAAGTGACTAATTCATAAGTGTTGAATATGTTAAAACGACCAAATATATACATATTTAAAGAGAATTCATTTGAATTGTCTTTCAAATTGTATTCACGTGATAGGTTTTAATTTTAGACTAATTTTGAACTGTTAATATTTGACAATTATAAAGAAAACCAATAGTTTCTAAAAGTTTTAAGTAACTTGGGGGTATTTAATAAAATAAAATAAAATAAAATAAAATAAAATAAAATAAAAACGCATATCTAAAGTTTATTTTATTAAAAACAATATATGTATGCAAATAAGTTTGTTTAATGCTTTATTAAAAGTAAGCATCATGCCATTTGCTTTCTCAACTACATGCCACATTGCCACGCGATTAACGTAATGGAATTAAGTTGCAATAAATAGAATGTGAGCTCATGGTAGTTTATCTTGAGCCTTCCCCCACACGAATATTGCTGCATATGTTGGTTTATAATGTTTTAAAGTCCGTATTTTATTCGGATTCTGAAATCCAAAGGCCCGGAAGCCCGACGTTGAAGATTGGCATCCAATAAATACGCGATTCAAGGAACAGTCATTTCCTTTGTCTTTCTGCGGCTGCCGGAGAATATTTCTCCGCCGTGGATGGGCCAGTTGCCTTCATCCACTGCCGGAGTCCCCAGCTGCCGTCGAAACGACGTTATTTATCAAAGTTGTGGATCAATGGCGCAACAAGATTTGTCGGTCTTTCTTTCTCCTTTAATGGGGAAAAAGATTGACGATGGTCTTTGTGTTGCCAACGGTATATCGAATCTTCCAGATGATTGTTTGGCTTGCGTTTTTCAGTTCCTTGCACCAGGCGATCGGAAACGATCTTCGCTCGTTTGCCGGCGTTGGCTCGAGGTCGAGGGACAGAGTCGTCACCGACTCTCCCTTAATGCCCAATCGGACCTCCTATCTGCGGTGCCATCGCTTTTTTCTCGGTTTGACGCCGTCACGAAGCTTTCTCTCAAATGCGACCGTAGATCGGTGAGCATCGGCGATGATGCTCTCATTCTAATCTCTCTTCGTTGTCAAAACCTTACCCGCCTTAAGCTCCGATCGTGCCGACAGTTAACGGATTCAGGCATGGAGAGTTTTGCCATGAATTGTAAGAAATTGAAGAAGCTGTCGGTTGGATCATGCACTTTTGGAGCTAAAGGAATGAACGCTGTAGTCGATAATTGCTCGTCCCTGGAAGATTTATCGGTGAAGCGGCTACGCGGCATCGCCGATGGAGACTCGACGGAGCCGATTAGACCTGGTTCAGCGTCATCGTCTCTTAAGATGATTTCTTTGAAGGATCTCTACAACGGACAATGTTTTGCTCCGCTGATAATCGGATCCAAAAATCTTAGAACCCTAAGACTTTTCAGATGTTCCGGAGAGTGGGATGGGGTTCTGAAACTTGTTACGAATAACATCAAGGGATTGAGTGAGATGCATCTGGAGAGGCTTCAGGTAACCGATATTGGTCTTGCAGCCCTTTCGAATTGTGAAAATCTAGAAATCCTTCACCTCATAAAAACACCTGAATGTACTAATTTGGGGCTATCGTCTATGGCGGAGAAGTGTAAGCTTCTGAGGAAGGTTCATATCGACGGGTGGAAAACAAACAAGATTAACGATGAAGGTTTGATCAGTGTAGCAAAATACTGCACTAACCTTCAAGAGCTGGTACTTATCGGTGTGAATCTTACCCGTGTAAGTATATCGCCATTGGCTTCAAACTGCCAGAAGCTAGAGCGATTGGCGTTATGTGGGAGTGAAACCATAGGTGATGTCGAGATTTCTTGCATAGCTGCTAAATGCACGGCGTTGAGGAAGCTATGTATCAAGAGTTGCCCTGTCTCTGATCATGGAATGGAAGCTTTAGCACTTGGGTGCCCTAATTTGGTGAAGGTGAAGGTGAAGAAGTGCAAGGGAGTCACCTGTGACGGTGTAGGCTGGTTGAGAGCTAGCCGGGAATCATTAGCTGTGAATTTGGATGCTTTGGTGGTTGAAAATCAAAACCAGAATGCAACCGTTGAGGTGGTGGTGGAGGACCAACAACCACCACCAGCAGCTAGTGACATTGGAGGAGGTGCTAATGGTGGTTCTAGCAGTAACAGGAGGTCAACATCATTGAAGGCAAGGTTGGGGCTTACATCTGGGAGAAATTTAGTTTCTTGCACTTTGAGACGGTGGTCAAGCTTTAATGGCGCTTCGGCTTCACAAAGTCATTAGGAAAGAGATGTTGTCAAAATGATTATGTTGCTTTTTATGTTGGGTATAAATATTTATGTCAAAAGATTGTTTTTTCTTTTTATATATCATGATGATGAAAATAAATACCGAAGCGTTGTATAAGTATTTGAGTTGACTAGTCTGATCACTGATGTGAGAAAGAGAACAATCAAAGATAATAAACATTTTTGGAAATACTAGATAGAAACAAACAGGTGTAAAACTTGGAAATATAAAGATGGTGGTGGTGGTATGATCTAATCTGCTTTCTTCCTCACTTTCTTGGGTGGCTGTGGCTTCTGGTACATGATGATTTGGGTTAAGATTGCACCGTTTGTCAATATCCCGATAACAGAACCCATCACAACTTCAAACAGAGCAAAGGATATCAGCACTTATAATGATTTGGGTTAAACATTAAACATTATTAATAAGCCAAAAATGGGAATGTTTAATTGTTTGCATACATACCACTTGTTGGGGCTCCTTCTTGGAGGCTGGTGAAAACTCTTACTGCAAAATCAGTGATCACATACATACATATCAGCATTTGTGTATATAATTATATTGGACACAGACAGACAATAAGAAACAAGTAGAACTGACCTATAGAGCCAAGAGAATTCATAAATGAAGTTATGAAGCTAAGCTCCCCTGTGCTTTTGTTCTGCTCAAACATAACATACTCATTCACAAAAACCAAAAAATGTGGCATGTCTACTGTATTTGATGTATACTAGACTTGGACCATGACATAATATAACAAACTGTACTGTATTATTTTGGACCGATGTCAATGGGACAAAAGGTGGAAAAAAATGAGACCAAGACTTGCTGTCAGTTAGTCATTTGAAGTATTCAAAATGAAGACTTCATTTAATTAAAGTATTTAACATGAAAAACTTAAGAAAGTGTATTACACTTTAGGAACACATGTGCAGAAAATTTTCGACAAACAAAACAGTAGATATATAATATAATCAACAACTTACTTTAAGGTTTTCCCAAATTTGAGGGACCCTGGCAAAGAAAAAGACTGCATGCTGGCATGCCTGAAACCAACAGTTTCATCAAGTAAATTAGCAAATTCCAAAAATAAGTTAAAAGAAAGAACTTACATATAGGGCTTCAAAAAGAAGGGGATCAATTTTCCCAGCTAAGATTGTTGGTGCTATCCCACAATATCTGTCGCAGTCTCATTGAGGAAATGAAATTCTTATATATATATATATATATATATATATATATATATATATATATATATATATATATATATATCATGTGTTTAAAGAGAAATAAAATAACCATCAGAATCTAAGAAGGATACAGCAGAGCACGGATCCATGTTGAGTTACTGACAGGCTGAGAGAAATAATATATGGTTGCAACTAAGATTATAGCTGCAATGTCCATGAAAAAAAAAAATCACATTACAAAATATCACAAATCCAACTGATCAGATTGGAATGAAATGATTTACTTTGTGTATAAACAACATTTAACCATCCTATTCCTAAAAATAACCATACTGTGTGATTGCAGGTGGATCAAGCCAGCCTGAAGAACATTATTCAAAATGGAAATTCACAAAGACTCATGATCTGAGGGTAGGAACGAATTTATGTTAATTCTTATAAAATCAGAAAGGTTCATCAACAAAACATGCCAAAAATAAAGATTGAAGAGCAATTAGCCAGCTAATCATATCCTCATTCTCTGAACAATTCTCCCATATTTATGTGGTGAACTTGTGAAACTATCTAGAAATTAACATGGTGCTTGCTATACCTTGGATCAGAAGAAAGGCTAACTCTCCATAAGCTGAAAATGGGAGACCTTTGTGAAGACAATATGCCAAAGCAATGGTATAACCAACCACTTCCATTTCAAAGGCCATAACGCTAAGACCTCTTACACTTTTATGTTGCATGATCTTCATAATCTGAAAGAAAAACATAATTCAAAATCCCAGTCCTAATTTCTGCAAACTAGCATTAGAGATCAAAATATGATATAGAGTGCACTCGGCATGGCTTAAGTATATATCGATTTAAAACACGTTACCATATTTGAAATTGATTAAGATTGTATCGATAATTACAACCTAATGATCAAGAGCTCAATAGTTCACGAAATTGGAAAATCAAAGGAAGAATTGCATTAATCTGAGATTTACATCAATTTGTAACCAATTGACAAATAATTGGAAGAATTGGTGGAATCGCAAAACCCTAGGGAGGCATGGAGACCAACGTGATGAAAAATAAAGTTGACGCAAATTGAATTGGTTAACCTGAGGCAGTTTAACGGTGGTGGAGGCAGCGACGATGGCGTAACCTAGGAGCTTAGAAATCAAAGGAAGCAGGCAGTCCTTTTCAGGGAACTTGCCGTCACTTAACGATCCAAACACGCAGCTGAAGTCCATTCCCAGGAACTCCATTTGAACCATTTTGATGGTCCGACGTAATGAAAGATACAGAAATGGCCTGAATTGTTGGGAAAATCGCCGGTGGCTTTGTAAGAACTCCGGCCAAAAATCTATAGCAAGATTTATGGATGGGTTTCTTCAAAACTGAATCACATCAACAGAAATTGAAAGGGATCTGTTTGGGCCACTGTTAACTAAGCGATTGACTTTCCCATAAATTATTGGGCCATAAAACAATGATCCACATAACTGGTCTAAAACAAGACTAAAACCAAAAAAAAATATGATCATCATGAACCGTCCTATAAAAAAGTGGGAAAATACAGCAAATAGACAAAAAAATTTGGGTCAATTTCGAAATTTAGTCATAAAAATAGATTTTTCCGGCTATAGACATACATTCCGCGGAACCATGAAATCTCCGCGTAGAGGGGGTAATTTCGTAATTTCAACCCTTTTTTTTGAGAAAAACGAAGGGGTCCTCTTTTGGTCCCCACTGGTCCCCGTTTGTGTTCGTCACTCCGCATCGCCTCGCATAGTCGTTCATCGAAGACTTCAAATCCGGCGGAATACGCCGTCAAACGACTTCAAATCCGGCGAAATCGAGTATATAGCACTTGAAATCCGTCACCGATGGACCGCGAATTCCCCGATGTTATGGCCGATGGATACGGTTCCCGGGTATTTCTCACATTCCCATCTAATTATTAATGTCGAAAATGTCGAATATGATTCAAATTAGAGGAAACCCCATTTTATTACATTGAATATGTATACAGTTTTAGAATTTTTAGGTTTACAAATCACAGGAACGATTTTTGGGATGATCCATTTCCGCGGAGGGGGACGTCAGTCCGCAGAGGGTGCTCCGCGGAGTGATGTGTTATGTAACATCCCGTTTAAATAGAGTAATTAAATAATAAATCAGGAGCCCCGGGAAGTAATTATTATGATTATTTTATACTATTATAGCCCAAGATCGAATAATAATTAGTGGGTGTTGGTTTTAGGAAGTCAAATGGCAAGAATTGAACCTCCAGGGGCTAAAGTGTAATTTTGGGACTTAATTTGTAAAGATTTTCATAAGTCAAGGAGTGTTTGGTATTATTTGGGGCATAATATACAAGAAATTATGGAAACAGGGGTTAAAAAGTAAATATCGGATTTATTTTGTAAGGATTTTAGGAGACAGGGTGGGAATGGTAACATTTGGATTAAATTTGAAAGGAAATGGAGAAGGAGGGATCGGTTTTGTAATTATGGGCCAAAGTTGTATGGAACCGGGTATATATCTTCCTTACCCGTCAAACCCTAACTCTAAGGGATCCCACTTCAGCCGCAATAACCACCTTATGCCTCCCTTCACACCAGCCGCCATCCCTTCTTCCTCCGATCTCCGACACCGCTACCCCTTCTGTCGAGTCGCAGCCACTGCTGTTGGAGTCGTAGAGCACCACCATCACAGCCTATGTCGGCTGTGACGTCGAGAATGGCCGGAGAAAACGCCCAAGAGCTATGGCATCACCGCTACCTCACCCTCTTAGTCAGAAAACAACCATGATGTCGTCGTTGTAGCTCCTGCCGTCGGAGAAGCCGAGAACCCCGAACACCGGCGTGTGGTTCGTAAATGGTTAGATCCTCCACTGTTACATCGCCGCCTTATCTTCTTCTAACTCCAGACGTCGGACGTCGTTCGTAACCAGGGAAAACCACAGGGGGCGCCGATGTGGTCGTGGGAGGACCGACCAAATTGCTGTTGATGGGTTTCATCCTTAAGGTCACCACCATGCGACTGCCACCACCATGAACCGCTAGGTGGGTGGTGGTGTAGCGGTTCTGGGGTCCTTGTGTGTGTTTACTGTTGCATCGCATGCTTTGCGAGTTGCTGCTGCCGGATATTGAAGAAAAGACCCACCATGGCCGTCAGCCATAGTGGCCACCGCTAGCTACCATGTTCCGTCGCCACCAGCCACCATGGAAGGTGGCTGTGTGTGTGTTTTGTGTGTGTTTAATTAGTGTAGTGTGTGTGTTTATTTGTGATTTCATTGTAAATTGTAAAAAAAATGGAATAAAGAATTTGAAAACCACCACCTTAGGGTGGTGGTTGCCGTCTCCTGCCGCCACCGGCCGCCGTGTCGGGTGGCGGTGTGCTTTGATTGCGTTTGGACCTCGTTTGGGGGATGTTTGGACAATGTGGGACCAAAGAAACCCTAGTGGGCCCAATGGAACCCTAATGGGCCTTGTAAACCCTAATGGACTCTAATGGACCCCAATAAAACCCTAATGGGCTTAATGATATTCTAGTGGGCCTAATAGGCCCAATAAAGCCCTAATAGACCTAAAAGCCCAACCATTTGATTAATGGGCTAGTATTTGGGTTGGAAACCCTAATGCCTTGAAACCCTAATTTTGGGAATCGATTGAGACACACACATGGGAATTATTTAATAAGCTTAAATATTAAATAATAATCATTGGCAAACTAACTTAGCAATAAAGTCCTTAATGGATTAAGTCCTTAATGGATTAAGTCCTTAATGGGTTAAGTAGGAAACTTAACCCTAATCATCATTTTATGTGAAACCATAATTTCACTTGGGCCTTAAGTTGGGCCTTTCTATTGGGCTTTGATGATTAGGATAATAATGGGCCATCCAAGAACAAGCAAATGGTCTAAAATAATTTAATGGGCCTAGGGTAAGGTCCATGTAAGGGGTTGGGCCCAATTTGGAAAATTGGGCCATATGTTGGGCTTTGGCCCATTATTTTACTTTTGGGCTTTTGTAGTGAGAGTTGGACCTTGGGCTTGGAACCCAATTATTAATTGGGTATTGTTTGATGTGGACAGTTCGGGAATCTGTCAACCAGCAGCGGGAGCTTCACCTGCGGGAATTCAGCAGTGCCAGGTGAGTTATCCTCACTATACTAAGGGGTCTAAGGCACCAAGGCCGGCCCATTGGATATGTTATCCTAGCAGTGTTAGATGTTGAGTATGAGTTAGTGTTGCATGCTAGTGGTTATGCCAGTTAGGTAGACCTGTAGGACTACCTGTGATGTTATATGATTATTGCATGCTTAGTGGTTATGTGGTATGTTATATGTTATGTGGGATGGGTTGAGGTTGTACTGCTCCGTGCGGTAGCCAACATACCTTAGGAGCATTCCAGTTACGGGCTAAAGAGAGACTCGTACTATGGGCTCGGGAGCATTCCAGTTACGGGCTAAAGGGAGACTCGTACTGTGGACTCGAGAGCATTCCAGTTACGGGCTTAAGGGAGACTCGTACTGTGGGCTCAGGGGTAATCCAGTATGTAAAGTTGGGGACCCATTACATGTTGTTCAGTTGTTATGTTATGATATTGTTGATGTTGTTATGTGGATTGTATGTGTATCGGTATTTTGGGGGTAACTCACTAAGCTTTCGGGCTTACAGTTTCAGTTTATTGTTTCAGGTGCATCAGGGGATCGTGGCAAGGCAAAGGCGTGATCGTACAACTCCTCACTTTTTATGACTTTGTTTCTGGTATACTCTGATATTAAACTATTTTGAAAACATTTTGTAATGACTAATGGGTTTTGAATTGTTTAAAAAGTTTTAAATTGGCTTGAATTTTACGGGTGTTACATGTTACCTCCGCGGAATGTTATAATCGAATAAATGCAGGTCTCCGCGGAGGCTAGAGGTCACTCCGCAGAGAGGCCTCCGCGGAATGACATTAAAAATGGTTTTTGCACAATTTTTTTTTCTGCTTTTGCTGCCCTTTTCTTTTGTGTACTTAGTTATATATAAAAAGTATGTTGCTATTTATTTCATAAACCGAATTAGAAAAGTAATTTTGGAACCTTGTTTTTTATTTTCAATTAGTAATGTTTTAAATGAAATAAGATTTTTTTTTGTTGTGTAGCACGAAGATCTCAATCAAAAAGCGGATTTAACTTTGAAAGGCGTGGTGGGGACTATCATTAAAGACTATTTTCTGCGCCTAACACAATCACAACGAGTATTATTCGAAGTTTCCCCCTTTGGAATATTCTTAGGAATGCATATCCCACATGGTGATCTCTTACTTGTGCATATGATGATGTTGCACGAAGTAAGGTGTCAATAAAAATTTGAAATGAGGAGGTTTTTGTTTGATATGGAGGGGATCCAGTTGGATTTTGGTGAAACTGAATATATTCTCATTTGTGGTTTAAAAGTTGGTCCTTATGTGGATTTACTCCATGACGAAAAGGGCCAGTCAAATTCAAATCTCCGTGCTCGGTTGTTCCCAGATAGTTCTGATGCACGTTTGCGGCTGAAAGATTTAGAAAACTTGATTATGTCCCCGAATTATTTGGCACTACAAGATGAAGATGTTGTGATGCTTATCCAGCTTGTTTTTATGTTGAAGGGTCTACACGGACGGGACGTTAAAACGGGCATTCCTGCAGCAGTATACAAGCTTGCTGATAATATAGATGATTGGAACAGGTATTACATTTAAAACAGACATTCTCGCAGTAGTATGCAATGCACTAATTATAATAAATAAATTGAAAATTGCAGGTTTGCATGGGGTACGTATTTCTGGAAATATACTTCGTCTTTGATGCGTGGAATGTTTAAGAAAATAGAAGAGTTTAGAGTATTGAAGCAGGCCAATCCCGAATCGAAGAAAGTACACAAGTATACCGTTCCCGGTTTTATGCTTCCCTTTAAGGTTACTTTCTAATGCATTTAAATAGTTATCATTGTTTAGTTTTTTATACTATAAAAATTTGAACTTCGTTTTTTATTATATAATAAGTTTGTATCATGAATTTTATAGTATAATAGAACGATACTTACATTTTTTTTCATAGATATGGATTTTGGAGACGTTCCCAGAGGCAACCAAGTTTTATATACGCACGCCGACAGAATTGTCACGGATGAGGGCGTGGAGAAGTAAAACACCGTTATCTTGGGTTCAATGTTGTCGAATAATGAATGTGTCTGTGGTATTCTTTTTATATTAACAATCATCTATATTTACAAATTCCAATGTATTTTCATGTTAAACTAACAATCTGATTTTTGCAGCCTAACAACCAACCTATTAATGTCGTGGCAAACCCGGAGGAGCTGATGTTGCCGTTTTATGTTCGTTATGTCAATTGGACTCTTAACCCTGTAGAGTCTCCCCCACGGCAATATAGTCCTGTCCGAAATAGTCCACCTCATGTTGCCTCGCCTGCTCGAAGAAGAATGTACAAGTCCGAAATAAAAACATCTTCGACTGAATCTGCCACAAATGCTTCTTCCTCGCAACATCTTGAAATAGAAACAAGTTATATGTCAAACGACACATCAAGATTGGTAAAGAAGAAGAAGACGAGCACAAAGGTATTAGTGAAGCGTCTACTAGGCATTGTAGCTGACTTAAGTTCTAAAGTAGACCGTGTATTACAGAAAAAAGATGAACCAGATAGAGGGTTTCGAGAGGAGGAAGAGGTGGAGGAGGAGGAAGAGATGATGAATGAAGAGGAGGAAGAAAAATATTACCATGATACACATTTTGACTATGATGATATAGGTACTCATGGTTTGGAGGGGGAATTTGGGCCTACACCTACGCATGTTGAGCCGTCATCGGACGTGGGTGAACATCACACAAAAGAAATGACTCCTATTGTTAGGCCGCAACGAAAGAGGAGTGTTCCATGGTATCAGCGGACTCCGTTCACAGTGGTACAAAACTCATATTTTAAATTTGATATATTTTTAAAATATTAACGTATTGATAATTATTTAACATGTTAATTTTTTAGTTGCAATCCACACCAAAATTGAAGAAAATCACCAAAGCAAAGAAAAAAAAAAGTGGTGAAGAGTCCTGAAAAAGCAAATGAAGACATTGTGAATGAAGAGAGTAATGATGTTTCAAATCATCTCCTGCTCGACAGTGTTGAAGTTGCCAGTACGTTGAGTTTTTGGAGAGAACGGAATACGATCTCTTCCAACCTAAACACTAAACATAGGCTGCATATGCTCACACTGGATGTGGAGTTTTGGTCGAGGTTACTTGCAGTTACTGACGCTGGGTGGTTAATTTCTTCGGTAACATTCGTTAAATATAATTTTTAACTACATTTTTAGACGATAATTTATATAAAAAACTGTAACATTTTTATCTTAAAATGTACAACATATTGCGATATGGAGTGACTTGCTCATGGAAAGACGGCCGACGAACGCAAGGTGGACGATATTCCCTCAAGAACTTAATTTGCAAAACGGAAAAACATATTTTCTTAGGAATATAGCAAATGGTGTCGGAGGCCATCCTAAATGGAAGGATGTGGATATGGTTAGTTAAGTTTATTAATTATTTATTTTATATAGGAACTGAATTAATGACTATTAAATTTGTTTTTGTTTGCAGGTTCTATTCCCCATAAACGTTCCTCATGCCCATTGGTTTTTGGCAGTGCTACATTTAGATATTTGGAAAGTACACATTTATGATTCAGCACGATGTATGAATTACTTCACAACGTACTTGACTGGTGGAGAATTCAAAAGTTTTGGGGATAGTATAATCGAAGAGCTAGATGTCATTGACTACTGGAAGGATTTCCCCGATCGACACAAAGACAACGCAGTTGTGGAGTTTATTGATATTGTAGACGCGCCACAACAAGAATATATTACTAATAGAGGGGATTGTGGAGTATTCGTAAGCATGTATATGGAAATGATTGCTTCGGGGGTACCGGTGAAGAGTGATAAGCCATGTAGAGATGCAGGATTTCTCTACAGAAATAGGATGACAAATATTATTTGGGATACTAAATAACTTGATGTTTGGAAGTTTGTATACATTTTTATGAAATACTTGTTTTTAGTAGTTTTGTTTAATATAAACAACTTTTGTATCATATATTTTTTGAAACATAATTCACCAACATATATTACGATACATTAAAAACATAACAAACATTTGAAATAACATAATAACATTACAGAAAACATTACAAATAAAAGATGAATGATTAACAAACATTACATAGAACATTACGAATAAAAGAGTCGTCTACATAAAAAAGGGTTTATTTCTAACCAGATTCCAAACGTCCGTATACTCGAACTCAGTTTCATCAAACTGGCACAGGTAATATCCGTTCACGTATTCAAGAAGTTCTTCATCATCAGCATCAGAGCATCGCATTTTCTCATAATTGTAGCATCGATTGTATCATGTGACTTTAGTCTTTAAATCCATCCATTTACTAACAATATCGGGTTTTAATCGTTCTTGTCCTTGTCCCACCTTATAGTTGAACAAAGCTACTAAGCGGGACCATTCATCACCAATAAGGCAATTAAGGGGAGCCATTACCGGCAGACCCTCGTAAACAGTAATCCAGCATCGTGTTAGGACCAATACCTCTGTTGTCGTCCATGGAGATGTACCATTTGTTGGAGCAGACGCATTAGACAGATTAGCTGCATTTGAAGACGTTGGTACATTGGATGCCATTTTGTGAAATGATCCCTTACCTCTAATTCGGACGTATAGATACGTGCTTTACTATATATAAAAAGATAGGTAACGCGGACTGACAAGTCAGTAACGCGGAATGACAAGTCAGTAACGCGGACCGACCATTCGTTTTGCGGACTGACAAGTCAGTAACGCGGACTTACAAGTCAGTAACGCGGACTGACGAATAGCTATGCGGACTGATAAGTCAGTAACGCGGACTGACAAGTCAGTAACGCAGACTGACGAATAGCTATGCGGACTGACAAGTCAGTAACGCGGACTGAAGAACAGCTCTCTGCGGAGTTGAAGGGTCTATATATTGTCATGGATGATCGTTGGATATTTGCGGACTGTCATGTCTATATAAAACGACAAAAAAATTACGTATCACTTCATCTAATCTATTTTAGTTCATGTACTTTTGTATGTTTTACAATGGGTTCAAACCCATGGACCGCTAACGAGTATTTGCTTCTAACTCGTGCATATATTAATGTCTATGAGAACACCAGTTTGGAGGATAGAATGTTTTGGGTCCTATTAACGAATACCTTCAACACTGACGCTGAAACCACCATAGAAAACCATCGCAGCACGCTTGATATAGCTGTAAAATGGTATGAATTGAAAACAGAAGTTGTGTTATTCAACGATCTTTATAATAAGATTGAAGACGATCGTGTGAATGATACTGAGGAAGACATCTTGGAGGCGGCTAAAGAAGAATACAAATCCATTAGCAACGGACAGAGTTTCGAGTATGAAGCCCCTTGGAATCTTTTGAAAAATGTCCCGTTTTTTTAACTAGTACTGCGTTTTGTATTGTTCTTGTATTGCTTTATTTATATGTAATATGGTATTTATCCTTTATTTTTTGAAACATAATTCACCAACAAATGTTACGAAACCATACATTCAAATAATATAATCTGACAAACAGGTTACACGGACTGACAAATAAGTTACGCGTACTGACAAGTCATTTACGCGGACTGACAAGTAAGTTCTGCGGAATAATGTATACTAATTCCTTTTAAATTGGACAAGCATTTTCATTTTTACAAGGTGTCGAAAGTTGTGAAAATGAGTTCAGTCAATCAGGTATTAAGAAAAAGTTTCTCCAGCCTACCAACTTTTTTCCATAATCTGCAAAGAACCAATCCTAACACCTTCACGTACATTACGAAAGATCAGTACAATTGTTTCCAAATTTGTTTCGTGGCATTGGGATGCGTGGTATGTAATCCCTTATAGTAAATAAATATTTAGTTATTTCAAGTTGTTATATGCCTAATATTTTTATCTTGACTTACAGATTCGCACATTTCTCACGTCTATGATACCAATCATATTTGTTGGTCAAGTACCTCTAATTGGGGCGTATGTAAGATCCATGTACATTGCGGTTGCTTTAGATGGAAATCATGAACCCCTTCTCATAGCGTTTGCTTTGGGAACCATAAACCATGACAATTCATGGTTATGGTTCATGAGGAGGCTTAAAGAATGTTTAGGTGACAATATAGAAGTTGGTTTCATAAGCCATATGTCTGATTTCATAGACTTTGCAGTTCAAAGAGTCTACCCTGATTCATATCATGGCTATTGTTGTAAAAATATAGCCGAGAAAATACACGCTTCCATCGGAAGCAATACAGTCGTAGAGCAGTTGTTCTGGAAGACTTGTAAAGCGTATAATTTGTCTCATTTTTATGCATGTTTGAACAACTTAAAAAATGAGGTTAATGGGAATGATCTTCATTGGCTTGACAATATTCCCATTGCAAAATGGGTACGGGCTTGTTTTCCAAGAGTACGTTTCAATGTTAAATTCATTGACATTCCCGTTGTTGTCAATTGGTTAAGAACAAACATGCATGAGTTTCCAATAACAACAATCATTGAAATGGTCCATGACTCGATGCAAGCAGTGTATCTTCAACGTGCTGCGTTTGGAGGTAATTATAAGTTATGACATCACTCAAATGGTCAATTGATATGTTATTATACGTTATGACATCATAATTTTTGTTTTTTGATTCAGTTCATTTCACAGGGGATTTTCATGGTCTTCTAACCCCTTATGCACTTAAGGTGATTCATAAAAGATTTATCCACTCGAATGGTTGTAGGATTACGCATATTGTTGGCGACAGATATGAAGTGAGTAAGTATTCAACAACCGAATCTGTCCAATTAGACCGTGGTATTTGTAGTTGTGGTAAATGGAAAAATGAGGTATACCTTGTGAGCATGCTATAACTTCACTACAAAGACTTGAAATTGCAGAAATCCAGAAACAGACCATCCTGTCGTACGCTCTTCATTTTTACTAACTACTTTTTCAGCCCACTCGGTTAGCACTGTTGAACGTTTCCCTGTAAAGAAGATATATATAATTAACTTATTATTCGACCTAATTAAAGTCCAAATTAAATTCATACCTCCTTCGATGCGACGCTTGTTACACCATTCCTGTGAAAGACGACGGAAGAACTCAAGAAGGGGTATTATAGGCAATGTTCCTTGCATCTACAGATAGAGCATTCATGGACTCTGCACTGTTCGAGGTCATGTAATCGTACCATTTCGACAGCGAATATGCTCTAGTCCATTTAGCACGGGGAATTTCACTTAGATATGCTGCTACTTGCGGCCTAGTAGAACTAAATCTATACCACAATTCTTCAAAAAACATTTCTTTTGTAAGCTTTCACAAGCCTCCAAAACAACACTTTTGTTTTATCATTTTTCCCAAACCTGTGTACTATGTTTCCTAGTAGATGAAAAACACACAAGCCATGATGAGCATGTGAGAAAACATTTTCAATACTAACCCGAATTGCATCGGCCCTATCAGTTACAAAAGTCAATTCTTGACAATCACCAACACATTCATACAACTTTTCAAGAAACCATGTCCAAGTAAGACCACTCTCTTTTTTGCATATTCTGTGCGCAAGGGGCAATATCTGGTTGTTCTCATTCATAGTTACTGCATGCAATATGGTTCCCTTAAAATCAGCCTTCAAATGGGCACCATCTATAATTATAACTTTACGAAAAAAACGTTTGAACGCTCGTATCTGCAATATATTAAAATGGAACACATAAACACTCTATAATTTTTTTAAAAAAATTATATATTAAATAACAACAAGTTTTTTGTATTTACCGTGCTCCCAATGGCATAAAAACAACACTCGAAACAATCTTCAGAATCTGTTTGAATATAGGCCACTGTACCGGGATTATGCCTCTTCAAATTGTGAAAATAAATAGGAAGTTTGGAAAAACATTCTTCAGAGGATCCCAACAACAGTTCCATAGCATATTGTTTTGCACGCCAAGCTTATTTGTAATCTACATTGATTTCCAGCAAAGCATTCAAATCCCTTGATATTTCATTAGGCCTCCAAACCTTGGAACGAGTTTTTCCCATAATCTCATGCAATATAGTGCCCATCACTTTTTTATTAGCATGCTTATGATTAGGGTGTATCTGTAATGACGAACATGTGTGCACGTTGTTGAAAGTCCTGATTTCAAATTCATTAGTGGGATCAAGGCGTTTTGCATATAAACGCCAACTACAGTTCTCAATTTCACAATATACCTCATAACGATTTTTGTTAGAATGTTTGGTCTTAAACTGAAACTTTTCTCTGGTTGCTTTAAGACTCAAAGCAAATATTAGTTGTTGTTTGTTATCATATGTTTGACGAACAAACATATCATCATTTGGACCTAAATTATGAAATGGTCCGGGTTCAACAATAGGATCAGGACAATCAGGTATGGGAGGCATACCGTCAAATATGTCTGAAGCTTTTTTCCCGTGTGTGAACTCATCTTCTGACCATCCTTCATTTGACTCTTCACCGTCTGACAAAGTTTTGTCAGTCAGTCTTCCAAACTCATATAAATTTTTTTCTTCAATCGTATTCACTGCCACAGTTTCTTCTTGTGGACACTCTTCAACATTATCAGATACAACGTTTTCAACATTGTATGGTACAATCTTGTCAACCGCTTCTGTCTGTTTGACCAATCCCTGAAACACCTCTAAATACAAATGCACAATCTCATTCGTTTCAGAAATTACATTTCTGAGTTGATGAACATTTGCTTCGTCTAAAATATTCATAACATACCCATGAACCGGGTGTTGAAATGACAATGATATATTACTATTGAACACATTAGCCTTAATTTTGACCAAATCAAACAATATTCGACGATCAAAATTTGGCGGAAGCAGTAAACCTAAGTTGTTAAACTTTGGTCTAACGTAGGTGTTAATCCCATTACTTATCTGCCAAAAACCACCAGTACATAAAATAACAAAACTCATATTTTTTTTTTAAAATGAAATGAAAAAGAACTGATCTATTGTATAGATAATCGACCAAATGGAGCTAAAAAAATGAAAAATAACACTTTGTATCAAAAAAACCGTCTAAAATGCGTTGCAACCACCCATTCCGCGGAGACATTAATCTCTCCGCGGAGCTCCTCGTCACCTTCTCCGCGGAGGAATTTATGAACGCCAAACAACTCACTCCGCGGAGGTGTTAATGTATCCGCAGAGGGCCTACGCGGAACAATCTTTTAAACATTAAAAAATCAGACTTTTGGGTGGTCCGCGGAGATGACGTCATTCTGTAGAGGTCCGCGGAGGGTCCTCCGCGGAATGTATGTCTATAGCCGGAAAAACCTATTTTTATGACTAAAATTCGAAATTGACCCCCATTTTTTGTCTATTTGCGGTATTTTCCCTAAAAAATTCCGGTCTATTGGACCGTTACGAGACCGTTTCAAGATTGGTCAAAGATCGACTCGAGACCAGTCTCAAAAGTAACATTTTTCTTCTTTTTATTAAAATTTAGTGCATCATTCTTAGTAAGTCTTAATGTATCATGTTAATCATATACAATTGTTAACGGGAAACTTGAAACCGAAACAAAAATATATTGAATCCGAACGGAAGAAAAACCGAAAATTAACCGAAAAAGGCGTATCCAAAGACTGCGGACCGGACCGAAAAAGGACCGGTCAAAAGAAAGAGCGGACTGAAAAAAGACACAACCATTCCAGACCGGTCCCAAAAGACCAAATTGTTTCGAGACCGACCCGAAATCGGTCTGAGACCGCCAATGTGCATCACTGATAACTCTAGGTATGAATGTTTGATTTAAACTGAACGTTTTTTTGTAGATCAAGACCTAATCGGATCAATTTTTAGATATATATTGGGCCGGGTTTTGGATTTTAGGGTGATAATTATGGATCATATTGGTTATCCATTCATATTGAATTTTTTTTTCCGGATTTTGTATAGAAATAATAGGATTTTTTTTTTCAAATAAATATCTAATAGCCAAGTTTTTACATGACCTATTCATATCCAGTGGATTGGATATATCTTATTCGGATATTTCAAGATCGGCTTTTAAAAAATTTGGCTCAAATATTTTCGGATATGAAAAAATACGGATGTAATTTGTGCACTACTAAATCCAGTAGAGGTGTACATATAAAACTGAGTTTTTTATCCGATGGAAAATCCAATCTGGATTAAAAAAAAAACGATCAGCACAAAACCAATGGACTGAGATTAGGAAAAGAAACCGAATATGCCACTCCAAACTTAGTATAAATAGATGTTGGTTCGGATGGAAACTTTTGGTTTTGTTCAGTTTCTTGGGGAAAATGTATATTGTTTCCTTCTCAATTGAAGTTTTGATTTCTATCTACAAATTGAAATATTCCTTTTTTCAAAGGTTCAATTTTTTTTTTTCATTACTTTTTTTAAAATTAAAAACAATGTAGGTACAATCTGGAGGTTCAGTTTTTTTTATTACTTTTATAAAATTAAAAGCAATTTAGGTTTGATTCCAAAGTATGCTTGTAATTTAGGTAATGATAGATTCAGTTATCAAATTGCTTATTATAAACATTCAATATTGTTTTTAAGCTTGTTAATAGACAATCATTTTGATACCCACTTGACCTTCTTGAAGATGAAATGAGCAAATATGTGGAAGTCCAAAATCGTTTCCTTAACCATCTTCTATTTGATCATTTCTTCATTAGTGTGTCTCATAAAGAAATTAATGAAAACAGTAAAACAAAAAAGTTGACGTCAGGAGTAGACGTGACGCAGAAATACATAGTAGGTGTTGCTGACATTGAAATAAATTTTGCCGATGCAGGAAAAATAAGTAAAAAATGGAAAAATCGAAATGTTTTCCACTACAGACAGAAAAAGTAAGTGTTGCCGATGCCACACCGGGACACCTATTAAAACCGCCTCTGGTTGACGTCAAAGTAAAATCGTCGATTATTTACAAACTCAAGCGCTTTTATGTTAATATCCTTAACTATCCAGTTATGTATGTCTTATTCGAATCCGGCTCCACCAAATATCCATTTCCCATACAAAAATTCATACATAAACAGCGTATCCAAAATCCAATTCTTCAAAATGTGATCATCCAGATTGATACTATTGATGCCACATAGTATATTTCTCACAAAATGAACTCATAAGGCCTTCAAGTATGTTTAACTTGAGGCCGGTGCATCATCCACAACACAATTTCACACAATCTCTGCCAACTTGATAAAACGGTGTTTACACTAAGAGAAAAAGAGAGAACGAGAGAATCGGAGAGACGATGAAAGAAGAGAGAAAAAGAGAGATTCTTTCTTTCTTTTTTCCATGACTCATGATAGCCGGAGCCACACCACAACACAATTTTTTTTTTTTTTGGAAATGGTGTTCATGTGTGTGGTAAGGGTACCAAATTACCCTTGGAAATACTGTACATTGTATTACTGTTGTGAATTTGCTATGACATATATCGGTTTGCTTTAAAATCAAATTTATTCAAAATATTTTGTAAATCGGTCTCCAGCCGCAAAATCAAATTTATCCAAGTGACTCAAAGTACACAAGTTAGCCACTTAAAGTTGAAACTAACTTTTGTCGTACCTAACAGTCTCTGAGAACCGGCATCTGGATCTCTCTTTTTTAGTCTCGGCATCTTCCTCGTTGATCCTCAATACAGAGAGGAAGAAGAAGAAGAAATCAATAAAATGAATGTTGCTGGGGTGGTTGGTGGTGGTAGTGGAGGCGGAGGCGGAGGAGACACCGATCTCAAATCCTCATCACTCTCTGAATGGACCTTCACTGTATCCCGCCGATACCAACACCTCCTCGACAAGTCAACTCCACACGTCCTCCACCGTTGGATCGGTTTCGCCGTCGTCTTGTTCATCTACGCCCTTCGTGTTTACTTCGTTCAAGGTTTTTACATCATAACTTACGGCCTCGGAATCTACATCCTTCAGCTCTTCCTCGCTTTCCTTTCCCCTCAGGTTGATCCAGAACTTGATGGTCCGTCTCTACCTACCAGCCGATCCGAAGAATTCCGCCCCTTTGTCCGCCGCCTACCTGAATTTAAGTTCTGGTGCGTCTGTTTTCACTTGCTCTGTTCCTAATCGTATGTTTGATTTAGGGCTCTTACAATGCGCCTGTGATTGTAGATTCTCCCCTCATTTTAGCTATACATTGACTAATACTTAGTGGCAAATCTCGATTGAATTGCCTGTTGCATTTTAAACACCATCAATTATATTTTCGTGATTTCACAGTTGAGAAACCCTAATTGAGGTTAAGCTGCTCGAATTAGGGTAATACCAGTGGTATTTAGTTCTAAGTATATGATGCCACTGTGATTTATGATTTAAGGAGCTTACCTGATCAAACGGAGCCATTTGGGTCAGAATCAGCAAACTAATTAATCAATGTAAATAGTTTTATGTAACTGACAAGTTGATATCAAATTGATGACTTTGAAACTGAGAAAACAAGAATCTATGCGTCTTCTTTGTTTACCATATGATGTAACTATAGATGATTAACTGATAACTGATCTGCTGGGAACACAAAACTGATTTGGCTTTGAGCCCGAATTATACAAACACTAGAAATTATGTATCAAGTACTCCAGAATCCACAAATCTAGAATGTTGGAGTCTCAATGGAAAGTAGAATCTGAAAATCAAGAACTCCACATGTGTATCACCTTAAATGCAAGATAATGGAAAGCAGAATCTGAAAATCACAAATTTTTTGTTGATGAAAGATAATATCTTCTTCTCTTTAATTGCAGGTACTCAATTACAAAAGCATTTTGTATCGCTTTTACACTGACATTCTTCAGCATGTTTGATGTGCCTGTATTTTGGCCAATTCTATTGTTCTATTGGCTTGTACTCTTTGTTTCAACAATGAAGAGGCAAATAATGCATATGATAAAATATAGATACGTTCCCTTCACTTTCGGAAAACGGGTACCTACAAACTCCCTCTTTTGATTTTCTTTCCACAATTCCATCTTTTTTATCATTACTTCCATAAACCCTACACTTTTTACATGGTATTCTTTTTGCAGCGTTACAATGGAAAGAAAGCATCTGTGGTTGATGATGGAGACTCTGGTCGACCTTGAGCCTGTGGTGAGTGGTGAGTGGTGAGTGGTGAGTGGTGAGTGGTGAGTTCACCTCAAATATATCTATCTTCTTTAGGGAACCACGGATTTGTGAAAGCCATAGAAAAAGTGTATTCTTTGTTGTAGCATTTTTTTTTCCATGTAGTATTTATAGTTCCTTTTTTATTCGAAATTTTGATCAATCACAGTTTGGACGCCTTTTTTATTTATAAATTAATAACAATTTCTTCTATTAGCAACACAAAAAGTGTTTTTCTATTCTGGAAAATGATTATTCTTCCAGCAACCTTTGAGCTGATAGTTGATAGATGGATGGCTTCTAAGACTAGAACCGATATTGGTTGGGTGAGTGGTTCGAACCAAGTGGTGCACCTTTGTGGGTTAGGTTAGGTTAGGTCCCATGGGGTGGGGGTATTTGGGACCAATAAAGATTGTAGAATCTATATTCGAAGAGGATGATTTATGAAATGTATGGCATGCCATTGGAGATTGGTATTACAGAATTGTCCTATTGTATGTGTCCCTAGAATTAGAAATGGCAAAGGGTTATTATTGTTGTGGTGGGGAGACCATGCAACTGTTGCCCATATGGGTATGGGTCTTGGGTGGGTGCCCCTTCTCCCTTTTGATTTGTACTTGTCAAACCTTTCCTTTCTTTCCCCACATTTCCACTCAAAGTACTATTCATTTATCCTCCAAAAATACCATAATAATTACTTGTCATAGATTCATTATTTTTTCTAAATTAACGACAATTTTTCTTCTATAAGCAACTCAAAAAATTGTTTTCTTTTCTGCAACAGTGTTAATACTTACCAGCAACCCCAGCTGATCCACATTATGATTGTCTATGCATGAATGACATAAGGGCATGCCTAGCTAGTGCGCAAACTTCATTTCTACCAAATATAAAACAATATTTACGTAGTTTATTAACCAAAACAAGATCATTTTATGTATTATTTTGTTAAAATTTTGAAAGTAACGATGATCATATTTACTTTTATCTTTTCTTTTCAAATTATGTATCTTGACATGTTGTCAAGCATTAGCTAGGATTCATATCTAGAGGCATAGGACCACTGTCTTACCCTGCCCCTCCATTTCAGCTGGCATTCAAGGGCAACTGTCAAACACAGGACCATAGATATATGCCCTCTTTTTCTAGTGCTTCCTTAAATTTCCCACAACTTGGGTAAATTACACCATTTCCTAAATATGTTTTCTTCTAACTTATCAATATGTCCACAAAAATAAATTTAAACCTTTTCTATCACCAAAAAAAATCTTTGTTACACTTTTTGTCCCTCAAATAAACTCATTCCCTGATGTTTACGACTGAAAATGTAACACTTAAAATTGCGCATAAATTATTACATCTATCCATTTTATTAAAAAAGAAAATATACTCGAAAAAACCACACTCAATGAACATGTAGCCCCAGAAACACACGAACACAAGGTCGGGCATATCGACCGCATGCTTCACCCGAAACTTTTCAACATAATTGCAATGACCACACCAACAAACACACACTACAGTTGTACTCCGTTAACTTGTAAGGACCATAGTCTCCCCCGATTAAGACAACGGGACCCACGTGTTTTCCAAAATCTAGCATTCGGGTTTCCAACTAGCTATATCCATCAACAACACTCATACAATTCATTTTTTCATGTGTGTTTGAGTGCACCAATTACCAATAACAATGGAGGGACTTCCTATGTTAACTTGTCTCATACAACACACCTTGAAAAGTCTATGCACCTGTTTTTCATCAGATTCTTCTTCAGATAACATTACTTCCCGCAAATGGGTGTATGCTGTTTTCTGGAGAATCTTGCCTCGAATCTACCCTCCTCCCAAGTAATCACTAATCAAAATCCCACAAATGTTGTGCTGTCTTCATACTTTAGTAATGAATCGTATGTTATTGTTTGGATGCAGGTGGGATTATGAAGGAGGTGTTCTTGATCGAGCAAAAGGAAACAAACGTAACTGGTAAAAAACGTTTACATTTTTATCAATCTTTAACGTATGATTTCTAATAATTTTGGTTCATGGTGATATATAGGATTCTTGTTTGGGAAGATGGGTTTTGTGATCTTGATGAATGTGAGCGAATTGGGAACAACGATGGATTCATGAAGGGTAGATTTGGAAGTGATATCTTCTTCAAACTGTCCCATGAAGTTTACAATTATGGAGAAGGGTAAGAAGTAGGAACTAAGAACACCAACATCAATCTTTTTTATGTTGAAGAACTTAAACAAGATTTATGAAAGTTTTTTGAGTGGCATGCAGATTGATAGGGAAAGTAGCTGCAGATAACAGTCACAGATGGGTGTTTAAAGATGGATCAAATGAGCAGAATACTGATCCAAGCTTTCTTTCTTCATGGAATGCAACTATTGATCCTGTAAGTAAAACCCTAATTTGATTGATTTGATCTTCATGAAAATTTCTTGTTATTTGATTGCTTTAATTTGTTACTTTCTGTAAACAGCAACCAAAAGCTTGGGACTTTTCATTTCAATTCTGGGATTAAGGTTAGCAAATCTCTTTTAAATACAGCTTTTAATGCATAATAATGTACGAATTAATTAACATGTTCGTTTCTGAATGAACCAGACGATTGCAGTGATATCTGTCAGAGAAGGTATTATCCAACTGGGGTCTTTTGATAAGGTACAATTTTTAATTGGTAAGGTACAAGTATGTTGTGGAATGTACAAGTTCTGATGCAGATGGTACAACATATGTATGCAGATTCTTGAAGATCTGAATCTAGTATTAACGATTCAGAGGAAATTCAGTTACCTACGTAGCATTCCGGGGTTATTCCATATTCAACGACCGTTTTCCACTGTACAAGTACAACAATGCCCGTACAATCCACTGAAGCACAAAACCATTGGATCTGAGGAGGCCCAACAAGTAATCGGGTCAAAAGTCAACATCCACACGGGAGAAAGTCAACATCACAAGGGTCCGGTTTGGTCATTGGGTTCGGGTTACAATACCCAAAGAGAATGGGCCACCGTTTTGGCCAATTCCACCCCTCTTGCCGTATAAATTTGGATCTCAATATGACTCGACCCGGATTCGGAATGATGGTGTGGGCCAGTGTTTGGGTGATGAGATATCTCAGGTCAAAGATCCGGTTCAAGAAAGGAAACCTGGTTGCTTCCACCCGAGTGCTGGGTTAGTTGTGGAATTAGGGTTTGGGGCTAGGAAGGTAGCTCAAGAATGTGATGTAAAAGTAAAATCTCAATTAAGTTAATAAGGAGAAATTTGCAATTATTTGGATATTAGTTTTATTTCCAGATGTTTTATTATTTTATAATAAAGCTGAAATGGAGTTTACAAAAAAATTCATCGGTAAACGAAACTGCATCTCAAACCGTTAAGTCGGAACAATGAAACAAAAAAAAACCTTCTTTTGTAAATACATCAACAATATAATGAATAAGGGTGAACATTTAGACCTGTGGACCGGACCGGACCGGTTCTCGATTCTAGGAATCCATCAAAACCGGTCCGGTTTTTTTCCCGTTCCGGTCCAGTTTTTACACCGGTATATAACCGGTTGGAGCCGATTTAAAAAAAAATTGTAATCTGTGAAATTTTTTAAACAACCATAACTCATTCGTTTTAAGTCGGATTGACACAACGTTTTTTCCAACGTTTAATTTACAATTTATAGATGAATTTAGACTATAAGTTTGTTGATTTTGGTATTATATTCAATGAGTTACAGTGTTTCAAAGTTGAGCTATCAAAGCTGAAAAGTTTCAGTTTTTCAGCAACATTTTTAAAATTTTGTAATCTGTGAAAATTTTTAAACAACCATAACTCATTTGTTTTAAGTCGAATTGACACGCGATTTTTTCCAACGTTTAATTTACAGTTTGTAGATGAATTTAGACTATAATTTTGTTGATTTTGGTATTATATTCAATGAGTTACAGTCTTTCAAAATTGAGCTATCAAAGCTGAAAATTTTCAACTTTTCAAAAAGATTTTTAAAATTTTGTAATCTGTAAATTTTTTTAAACAACAATAACTCATTCGTTTTAAGTCGGATTGACCTTCGGTTTTTTTCAACATTTAGTTTACAGTTTGTAGATGAATTTAGACTATAATTTTGTTGATTTTGATATTTTATTAAGTGAGTTACAATCCTTCAAAGTTGAGCTATCAAAGCTGAAATATTTCAGCTTTTTAACTATTATTTTAGACTATAATTCTGAATTTTATGTATCTTTGACAGATAAATCATATGAAAGAGATCTTGGTGAACTTGATTTATATGTTAGTTGCTTTTATTTGGAAAATTAATTTTGCAAGCTATAATATTATAACATCAAGGTAGATTAGTTATGCATGAAACGAAAACGTAATTATTTTTACAAGTTGTATCGTACCAAACCCAACAACATATTTGTTTTAACGAGTTCTATCAAACCCAAAAACTTATTTTAACAACTTATACTCTATGCAATTAAAGTTGTACCGGTCCAAACGAGTCCAAGCACCGGAAAATCCGGACCTGGACACGGATACGACTCATCCGGTCCGGTCCACGGTCCACAATATTCTCCATAACCGGTCCGGTCCAAGAGCCGGTCCGGTCCGGTCCGGTTCGATCCAAATGCTCACCCCTAATAATGAATTAATTTATTAAAATGTTGGAGCCTACCATAAAAAAGATGTTTATTACATCCACTTTTGGTTATTGTCTATTCCTCCATGAATATACTATTTCGTGTGTTGGCATTTGGAAGGAAAATACACAAGGTTGTCCCGGAGAAATACACAATAATAAAAAATGGAGCGTTGACTCGTTGAGTGGTTGGAGGTTGACCGGATTGTTGGTGGCAGGAGATGAGGCGGTGGGGGATGAAATATGGACAGCGATGAAGATGATGGTTGGGGTTGAGGTTGTTTGTAAATTTCATAATATTAAAGATTATTATTTTAAATAGGTAAAAAAAAGAAAAAAAATATAAATTTGTATTTTTGCCTTGACCACGACCACATATGTAATTTCTCCATACCAGAATAATGATCTCTATCAAAATTTTAGAGGTTGGACTAAACCTGCTAAATAGATTGAACCATAGGGACCAATTCTATCTAAGGCATGATAGGGCAATGGCCTATAATCCAAGATCTGGATTCTCTTAACAAGCACTCATCATAGTCGCACACATCACTATTGCCTATACATTAGTATAATAAATATTAGTTGGTTGCTATTATGAAATGACAACAACCATTCAAGATTACAAATTGCCTAATATTGGTCAAAAGATGTTGATTCGCTGCTATCGTGATAAAAAAGTTATAAATATATATGTTGCATGTATTATGTATTATTAGTGAAAACATAAAAAGTACATTGCTATTTGGAATATATAATTTATTATTTATGGAAGGTTTATTAAAGTGAAAGCAATATAAAAAAGAAAACATGGGAATCAATGCAGCTTGTACAAATTAGCATCTGATATATAAATCAGATGGTAATTATCAAATGGAAATAGATTTCCAATTAAAATAACACAAATCACATGATCAATGGCCGTTTTCTTTTCTCTCTTCCCCTGTTACACAAGATAAAAAAATATAAATGTTACTTTTTTTAACTTAAAAATTAATGTAACATGAATTAGATGGTGCTTGATTTACACTTTGGAGTCTCATCTCATTCTCAAATAGATCTTTGGGACAGAAAATATCAAAAAAAAATAAAGGACTCCACATATCTAACAGGTGAAACAATATTTTACCTGTGGGGTTTGATGGGTTCTGACTGGTTTTGATCGGGTAAGATGCCAATTCGGCTATTCCCACATTTACCGGTTATCTCATTTACATTGCGTTTCAATTTTATGTAGCCTTCGTCCCCCCAATTTGTACCCCATGCGTTCCTCAATAGCCAGTAGTCTTCACTATTTTCAGTCCCGTAGCCAACTATAACTAAACTTAAGCTCAGTTCGGATCCACAATCACCATCGATACCCTGACAAATTTAATGAAATTAGAAACGACTTGCTCCAAAAACAAAGCTTCAATCAAGTATATAACCATAAACTCTTTTTTCTTTCCACTTCTCTAAATATCTCATCATTATACAGGAGCAGAGTCTTACAACTCCTATCCATACACGAGACAATTAAAACAAGGGTGCCTAATCTTTAATTCCGTTCACAAAAAAAAACCTAATCTTAAATCTTAAATAATTTAATATGATATTATTTTCCACCAACCGGCCCACAAAATGACAACCCTTGAGCCTCAAGCCCTAAACCAACAAATTCCATGGAGACGCACTCCGAAAGATTAACCATGAATCATTGGGCAGAACTTGTAATGAGTTGGGCCATAATAAAATAAGATTATGATATCTTTTTGAACTGGTTTCACTAAATTCAAAAATTATGACAAAAATAGAGGGAGGTAAGTCAGGTAACTGGGATTACTTACCGCAGTGTATGACTGGAAATCATCCATTTTGAGTTTAAGAGCAACAGCTATAGGCTGGTTTGCAACGGCCTTCTTTAATTCTGTCTCGTTGTTCACCGGAACATCTGCATAACCATCAATGGAAACAACTTTTGTGTTTTTCTGCACAATTAATTGGTAAACAGAATATAATAGTCAAAGTCGAACTGGGACTAATCATTAATCACTAGTAGAAGGAAATATGATACATACCTTGCATTTTAAATCCGACTCGTCCGTGAACGGATAGTCTTCTTCAGTGTCTATACCGCCATTTTTTATGATGAAGGTAAAAGCATCAGTATAAAAACCACCATTGCATCCATTGTTAACTGTATCATCAGTATCACAATCAATGATTTGTTGTTCTGATAGTGTGATCAGATCACCTGTCACGATCTGGTTTATCCCTTCTACTGCTGCGATAGCTGAGAATGCATAATCGCCCCCTTCAATTCAAGGCACATGCATGAATCCAGCATATTAAATATTAATAATCAACTTAATTTGGAAAAGTAATTTATCCGTTAGTTTACTTTTCTCCTAGACAGAACGAAATCAAAATCACTAACGCAACACTTCCATCTAGAATCGTTAGTGATGGATAGATTAGATCCACCATTACCTACATATATAGTTGCAAAATTTATAATCTTTTCATTAGCAACACAATCAAAAAAACGTACGTGCTCAAAAATATATAATGATCTATAAAATAACTCACTCACCACATTTTTGTTGATTTTTGATGGGGGCAACGGCACCTTTGGTCCTCCAGTCAACGGAATCAGGCAGCACATCATCATCGGAAAGAAGAGAATAGCGGGGAGTACTCGTTGTCACCTTATTGTTAGACAGTTTCCGTTTAGGAATATTGGCGACGGTGTAGCCTAACTGGAACTCTTCCTTGGTCAGATCTGAGAACTTGTTGAGTCCAAGCTTGTAGGAATGTTTACCCCCGGAGTTGTGGTCTTCTATGTGCTTGAGGTTGTCTTTTGAAGATCTGAAACCTCTTCTCCTTCTCCTCAAGCGTGTTGTAAACTTTACCATGTTTCACCACCCAGGACTCGTACAATGCTTGGACTTCGTCCTCTGCGCGCCACCTCGACGCCAATGCGAGGGAGGTGGTCATGACCACCAACAAGAAAATCGCCATTGGAAGGAGCTTCATTATATTGTTGGAGCTTCTTCTCTTGAATATTAGATAAGAGGAGAACGATGAGTGTAAGTAAAAAGGTGGCTGGAGGGAATGGATTTATAAATTATAATGGGAGGGATGCCGGATGCGAGCAAATAATTGGAATATAATTATTATATACAAACCTTAATGTTATTGTTATTATTAAACTACATATTTACATTTACACAACTTCAATTATTATTATTTATTAATGGAGTGGAAAACGAGACAACGAGAACGGATATAACTTAAGACTTGAAGAAGAGAGGGTGGGCTTTGAGGCACCAACGTGTGAAAGTTTCTATAATATACATACTCTAATTTAGAATTTAGATATGATTGCATTTATAATGCAGTATAAAATAAAATGAAAATAAGTTTATATATATATTATATATATATATTATATAGATATATATATATATATATATTATATATATATATATATATATATATATATATATAATACAACTAATTTAAATATGATTGCATTCATAGTTCAGTATAATATATAGTTAAATGGATTTTATATATGCCATTTATTCTTTGAATTGTCCTCGTTTTGCTGCTAGTAAATAATAAACAATTATTAGATATGATTTGATTGCTTGTACTTTCAAATGCCATTTTATTTTATGATAAAACTGAAGAGTATTTTATATCTTCTTCGTCAAAATTTGGAGTGAAAAAACAAATGAACAAAAATAAAATGTAACAATTGTGATTTTTGACACTGAATAATCGTTATACGAAAGTGGTCACGTTGAGTTTAATAGGCTAATATATATATATATATATATATATATATATATATATATATATATATATAATATATATATATATATATATATATATAGAAGCGTTCATCGAGAATTTGAGAACAAATTAAACCACAAATCACTACCCCCCTACACCCATCACTACCCCCACCACCACCACACCCACCACCCCACACCCACGCCCACCACCCACCACCCCCCCACACCCACCAAACCACCACTCGCACACCACCACTCATCACTACCCACCACCACAAAACCACCACCATCACTAACCCACCACCACCCGCCACACACCACCCCCACCCACAACAACCACCACCACCACCCGACACCACCATCACCACCCACCCAACCAGCACCCCCACCTCCACCCCCACACCCACCACCACCCCCACCAAAACCATCACCCATCACTATCACCACCACTTGCAACCACCCACCCACCCACCACCCCCTCACCACATACCACCACCACCCATCACCACAACCCGCCTCCACCACCCGCCGCCACCACCCCCACCCCCACCTGCAAAGATTTGTTATTGTGTTTTTGATTCATTAGTTCTTCTCGTGTATATAATCACATGTGATTATATGTATCGAGTCACATGTGATTATATGTATCAAATCATATATGATTTATATGTTATTAAATACATATAATCACATGTGATAAATACACGGAAAAACTAGTGAATTGAGAATGCAAAATGAATATTGTCCACGTAAATCATATGTGATTAGATACTATAATTACACGTGATTATATGTATTTAATAAAATTTTTACGTGGACCGTATTTATTTTCGTGTTTTCGATTTAATATTTGGCATCGTGTATTAAATCACATGTGATTATATGTATTTAATCACATATGATTTACATGGACAATATTTGTTTTCACGTGTTGATTCAATATTTGTTCTTATGTATTTAATCACATATGACTCGTATGGAAAATATTTATTCTTGCATCGATTCAATAATTGTTCTAATATATTTAATCACATGTGATTATATGTATTTAATCACATATGATTTATGTGGACAAGATTCATTATTTCTTTCTCAATTCAATAGTTGTACTCATGTACTTAATCACATGTGATTATATGTATCAAATCGTATATGATTTATATTGATAATATTCATGATTCAATATTTTTTCTTATGTATTTAATCATATGTGATTGTATGTATTAATCACATATGATTAATGTGGAAAAAGAAAAACTATTTAATCAAAAACGCGAAAATGAATATTGTGTATAGAATCATATGTGATAATGTACAAGAACAACTATTGAACAAGAATGTGAAAATGAATAGTGTCCATATAAAATCATATCTAGTTATATACATATAATCCCATGTAATTAAGCACACAAGAACAAAACGTAATCGAGAAACGCGAAAATAAATATTTTCCACATAAATTCTATGTGATTAGATACATATAATCACATATGATTATATGCATTTAATCACATATGATATATGTGGACAATTATAACACCCCATTCCTGGTACGAAAGTAATTCTCTAAATGTTCATTTTATAAGAGCTACTCGACGAGTTGGTAGCCCTAACTCGTCGAGTAGGTGCGAGCTGGACCGCGGGGTTTAAGTGGACTACTCGACGAGTCGGTAATGGACTCGGCGAGTAGGTCCATCAGGAGGAAACCCTAATCCTTAGGGTTTGCACCCTATTTAAGCATCATTATGAGTCCTCACCCCCAGCCTCCATCACTCCACAGTCCATTCTCGAACCCTAGCAACCATTGAGTGTCTTAAAGCCTTTCTTGCCATTTTTGTGTGATTTGAAGTTAAAGGAAAGGAAGAGATCCATTGGTGATTCAAGAAGGCAGAAGATCCAGAGTTTTTAGTTGCATTTCAAAGCTCTTGAAGGTATAAGTTTGTACCTTGACTTATTTTCACTCAGATCTTCTTGAAAGTTGTTGTTGCCATTTTTGGGGTCCTTTCCAAGAAATTTCGGGTAGAGAGCTTTTGGGTCTATAAGGATTTTAGATCTAGGCATCTTGAGCTCCAGAGAGCTCAAAGTTCCACCTTTATTCAGCCAAGATCCCTTCTAAGCCCTAGACTCTCATTTCTAGCTTGTTTGGGTGATTTAGCTTCATTTTGCATCATGCATGCACGTAAGTTAGCAACTTTACGTGTATTCTAGCCTAAGGAGTCCAGATCTATGAATTGGAGGCAGTGGATCACCTAGGAACAACTGTATAGTAGTCCGAACATCCAATGGACTCGCCGAGTTGTTCTTGGGACTCGACGAGTCGGATCGATGTCCCCAAACCCTTCTTCGATTATGAGTGGACCACTGAGTTAAGGAGATGACTCAGCGAGTTGGACAGGAGTGAGACTCGGAAACAAAGGAGCTCGACGAGTCCAAGGTGAGACTCGACGAGTAGAATCGAGATGTCCCGATGTTATGACCGTTTGAACTCGACGAGTCGGTAGAGGGACTCGACGAGTTGGGTTGACTGAGAGTTGACTTTGACCCTAGCGTTGACTCTGATCAGAAGGGTAAAATGGTCATTTTACCCTGAGAGTAGTTATCAGTATTTGATTTAGTGTTTATGGATTTGTAGTCGGGGAGTTCCGGAGCAGCAGTCAGACAGTTTCAAATTTAGCATCTCAGCAGCCAGCGTTTCGAGGTGAGTTTACTTCCAGTAGGAACGGGTCTACGGCCACAATGCCGGCCCGTTTAGTTAGCAGTAGTTCCGGACTTCGGTCGATGCAGTAGTTCAGTGTGCTTGATGTCTTTGTGATTCAAGCATGTCTTTGTGTTATGTGGTTCCGGACTTCGGTCTGATGCAGTATGCAGTATATGTGTTTATGCTAGTAGTTTGATTATGCTATGCTATGTTCAGTCAGTTTCCGGACTTCGGTCCGATGCAGAGGGCAAGGCCCTGGTTAGTTCCGGACTTCGGTCCTGATGCAGAGGGCAAGGCCCTGGTTAGTTCCGGACTTCGTCGATGCAGTTTCGGACTTCGGTCCGATGCAGAGGGCAAGGCCCGGTTAGTTCCGGATTTCAGTCCGATGCAGCTTCCGGACTTCGGTCCGATGCAGTGGGCAAGGCCCAGTAGTTGCTTTATATGTTATTGTATGGGTGGTGTAGTTTGGGGAGCTCACTAAGCTTTCGTGCTTACAGTTTCAGTTTTGGTTTCAGGTACTTCAGCTAGCAAAGGGAAGGGCTCGGGATGATGGCATGACACACAACACAGTTTTAGCCTGGGAGTTGACTCTGATATTTTGATATGATTTGACACTAGTTTCGATTTGATAAATTTATTATGAATTTTGAGATACATGATCCATGGATTTATCTTTTAATATTTGATATTATGGTTTAGTATAGTTTTCAAACAAAAATTTTTGGGTTGTATTTTTGGGATGTTTCAAGTTGGTATCAGAGCCTTGGTTTGAGGGATTCAGGCACACTCTCGGGTGTGACTGGACTCAAACTAAGGAAATGGTAAAAAGATTTTCAAAAGAAAAATGTTTTCAAAGGAATTTTTGAAAAGAAAAACTTAAAAAGAAAAGAGTTTTAGAAAAGCAAAAGAAATTTTAGAAAGAAAGAACTTTGAAAAGAGAAAAATGGTGGGGTGCATGCAATCAGCCGAGCTCAAGTAAGTACTCACAAATTACCCATACAAGTTTATGCTATGATTATCAGTTTCAGTTTCAGTAGAACATCATGCTAGAATAGGACTAAGGATCTAGGAGGATGCCTTATGTGCCTGTTATATGTGTTTCAGCTATATGAAAATTGCATGCTAGTATTGAGTAGACAGTAGTAGGATAGCCTGTTTAGGTTATGCCTAATAGTATGAGCTTAGCATTGTATGCTAGTACAATTTCTTGTTATGAGGATAGGATTGCTTGAGTAGTCTCCTGTGTCTGAATGCTGCTTGCTTTGTGCTTTGTGGGACTCTGCGTGATGGGAGTTAGTCATTAGGTGAATACGTCACGTCACATGTGATCAGGGTTGAATAATCTCAGAGTGCTGAATTTGGCCCTATTGCGCAGCTCTTGTTTGAGTCTAACCGTTGTAGGGACGAGTCTTCT